TGTATCGGGATGTGCAATGAATCAAGAGTGACATGTATGAAAGAACTATGAACAGTGGCTTTGCCACAAATACGATGTCAACTACATGATCATGCAAAGCAATATGACAATGATGGAGCGTGCCATAATAAATGCAACAGTGGAAAGTTGCATGGCAATATATCTCGGAATGGCTATGGAAATGCCATAATAGATAGGTATGTGGCTGTTTTGAGGAAGGATATGTGGTGGGTTTATGGTACCGGCGAAAGTTGCGTGGTACTAGAGAGGCTTGCAATGGCGGAAATGTGAGAGTGCGTATAATCCATGGACTCAACATTAGTCATAAAGAACTCACATACTGACTATAAAAATCTATTAGTTATTGAAACAAAGTACTACACGCATGCTCCTAGGGGATAGATTGGTAGGAAGAGACCATCGCTTGTCCCTGACCACCACTCATAAGGAATTCAATCAATAAATAAATCATGCTCTGACTTCATCACATAACGGTTCACCATACGTGCATGCTACGGGACTCACAAACTTTAACACAAGTATTTCTCAAATTCATAACTACTTACTAGCATGACTCTAATATCACCATCTTCATATCTCAAAACAATCATAAGGAACCAAACTTCTCATAGTATTCAATGCACTTTTATATGAAAGTTTTTATTATATCCCTCATGGATACCTATCATATTAGGACTAATTTTATAACCAAAGGAAATTCCCATGCTGTTCTAAAGAATCCCAAAATAATATAAGTGAAGTATGAGAGTTCATCAATTTCTATTAAATAAAATCACCGCCGTGCTCTAAAAAGATATAAGTGAAGCACTAGAGCAATTTTACCTAGCTCAATAGATATAAGTGAATCACATAGAGCATTCTAATAAATCAAGATTCATGCGTGTCTCTCCCAAAAAGTGTGTACAACAAGGATGATTGTGGCAAACTAAAAAGCAAAGACTCAAATCATACAAGACACGCTACTAGGGAAATGCCTATACGCAGAATCTTACCAGCAGCGCAGTACAAAAAGAGGCGCTACTGCTAATTTTCAGTAGCGCGGGTACAAAACAAGCGCTACTGCTACTCAGTTAGCAGTAGCGTGCCAAGTGGAATACAGCTGCTACTAAAATCGATCAATAGTACCCACCAACCTAGGTTTAGTAGCAGCGCGCTGCTGCGACCCGTGCTACTACTATAGTAATACTAGTAGGTGATAACCCACAAGTATAGGGGATCAATTGTAGCCTCTTTCGATAAGTAAGAGTGTCGAACCCAATGGGGACCTAAAGGTAGAACAAATATTCCCTCAAGTTCTATCGACCACCGATACAACTCTACGCACGCTTAACGTTGTAGGCTAGGTTTGCAAGATAATAAAGAACATGCAAATAAAAGCTAGGGGATATTTAGATAAATACACAACTAAATTAGTTTCAGTAGAGAGCATTTTGTCACAAGAAAGTTATTTGTCCCTAGACAATCAATAACTAGACTGGTAATCATTATTGCAATTTTATTTGAGGGTGAGGCATAAGCTGGCATACTTTCTGTTCTTGGATCATATTCACTTATGATTGGAACTCTAGCAAGCATCCGCAACTACTAAAGATCATTAAGGTAAAACCAAACCATAGCATTATAAGGCATCAAGTCCTCTTTACTCTCATACGCAAACAGTCTATTTACTTGGGTCTGTGCTTCTATCACTCACGCCACCCACCATAAGCAAATCATGAACATATTGCAAACCCTACAGAGGGGATCCCTCACGCTTGCGCGACACGGAGAGCACCATAGGACAACACCAATAATAACATGCAACTCAAACCAATCACGATCATCAATTAACCCGTAGGACAAAACAGATCTACTCAAACATCATAGGATAGCCATACACAATTGGGAAATAATATATAGCGTTGACCACCATTTTTAAGTAGAGATTACAGCGGGTAAAAGAGGGGTTACACCACTGCATAGAGGGGGAAGAGTTGGTGATGACGGCGGTGAATTTGTTGGTGTAGATAGTTATCACGATGATGGCCCTGGCAGTGTTCCGGCGCCATCGAGAGAGAGGGGGAGAGCCCCCCTTCTTCTTCTTCTTCCTTGACCTTCCCCCTAGATGGGAGAAGGGTTTACCCTCTGGTCCATGGTGTAACGCCCACGATGCGGCTATATCTCCCACATGTCGGAGCACGACTTAGAGGCATAACCGCATTGTAAGCAATGTCGCAAGTGAGGTAATCTTCACACAACCCATGTAATGAATAAGAAAAGAGGTACATAGTTGGCTTACAATCGCCACTTCACACAATACATGAATAAAGCATTACATCATCCAGATACAATCAAGGTCCGGCTACGGAACCAAAATAATAGTAGACTACCCCAAATGCTACAGATCCCCGATCGTCCCAACTGGGCTCCACTACTGATCAACTGAAACGAAACAACACAATGAACGAGATCTTCATCGAGCTCCTCCTTGACCTCGGTTGAGTCACCTGCACGGTTTCATCGGCACCTGCAAGCTGGTTTTGGAAGTATCTGTGAGTCACGGGGACTCAGCAATCTCACACCCTCGCGATCAAGACTATTTAAGCTTATAGGAAGGGTAAAAGTACGAGGTGGAGCTGCAGCAAGCGACTAGCATATATGGTGGCTAACATACGCAAATGAGAGCGGGAAGAGAAGGCAAAGCACGGATCGAGAAACTATGATCAAGAAGTGATCCTAGAACAACCTACGTCAAGCATAACTCCAACACCGTGTTCACCTCCCGGACCCCGCCGAGAAGAGATCATCACGGCTACACACGCGGTTGATGTATTATAATTAAGATCAACTTCAGGTTTTCTACAACCGGACATTAACAAATTCCCATCTGCCCATAACCGCGGGCATGGCTTTCAAAAGTTCAAATCCCTGCAGGGGTGTCCCAACTTAGCCCATCACAAGCTCTCACGGTCAATGAAGGATATTCCTTCTCCCAAGACAATCCGATCAGACTCAGCATCCCGGTTACAAGACAACCTCGACAATGGTAAAAAAAGTCCAGCAAGACCACCCGCTGTGCCGACAAATCCCGATATGAGCTGCACATATCTCGTTCTCAGGGCACACTGGATAAGCTAAGCATACGGGAGCCAACGTAACCCAAGTTGCCAAGGGATGGCCCCGCATGGTGCTCTGGGTTGGACCAACACTTAGAGAAGCATTAGCACGGGGGTTTAAATAAAGATGACCCTTGAGTTGGCCGACCGAAGGGAAAGAAAAGGCTAGGTGGAAAATGGTAAAACCAATGTTGCGCCTTGCTGGAGGAGTTTTATTCAAGGCGAACTGTCAAGGGGTTCCTATTATAACCCAACCGTCTAAGGAACACAAAATCAAGGAACATAACACCGGTATGATGGAGACTAGGGCGGCAAGAGTGGAACAAAACACCAGGCATAAGGCCGAGCCTTCCACCCTTTACCAAGTATATAGATGCATTAAGTAAATAAGATATATTGTGATATCCCAACAAATAATCATGTTCCAACATGGAACAAACTCCAATCTTCACCTGCAACTAACAACGCTATAAGAGGGGCTGAGCAAAGCGGTAACATAGCCAAACAACGGTTTGCTAGGACAAGGTGGTTAGAGGCTTGGCTTAGCAAATGGGGGCATGATTATGCAAGTGGTAGGTATCGCAGCAAAGACATAGCAATAGAGCGAGCATCTAGCAAGCAAAGATAGAAGTGATTTCGAGGGTATGGTCATCTTGCCTGAGATCCCGCAAGGAAGAAGAACGAGTCCATGAAGAAGACAAACGAACATAGTCGAGCGGATCCTCACAAATGCGGCGTTATCGGAACCAACCCGAAGAAGCAACACCGGAAAGAAGCACACAACATAGTAAACAACCACTACAACAACATGGCATGATGCACAACAAGTATGATGCATGTCCGGTTTAATGAAGCATGGCATGGCAAAGTGCACAAACAGTCCTACAAATTAAGTGGAGCTCATTATGCAACGGAGTTGCATATTGAAGAAAACACCACATGACTTATTTAGTTCTCTCTCGTTTATGTATCCAACAATATTAAATGTTGTTAAACATGGCAAGAGGGTGAAGCAAAGAAAACTACCTATCTAGTCAAGTTTAAATGAGGCCGGAAACAACAAACAACAATTCCGGACAATCCTCATATGCATATAGTAGGTTTGTTACTGTTCTGCCCTAAACCATATTTTAGAGTTGTTTAACATGCAAAGTAAAGTCACTACGTTAAACTAGGCATTTTTCTACCCCATTTACATATAAAGTTTGTTAGGTTTGGAGCTACGGTTATTAAGTTATGAAATAAATCATTTTAACAAGTTATTTAAGCAATTTAAATAAACAACATTTTAAACATTTCAAACGTGGATGAAAGTGGCATATTATTAAACTAGATGAAATTCTAAGCAAGTTTCATATTAAGTTTGTTTTAATATGATGCACCGTATGTGAGTTATTATATGCATGTTGTCTAGGGGCTTTTTTGTAAAACTGCAAACTCTGGGATAAAAGGAAAAAACACAACAGAAAAAAAACACGCATGGGCCAAAACTGGGCAGCCCAATAGTGCAGGGGGGGCTCGGGTGCTGCTCACCATGGGCCTCCGCCCAAAACTGTGGCGAGGAGGAGGCCAGCAGGGGGCGCGCTGGGCCGGCCTGCTCGGCTCGATTGAAAGGTCAACGCAGCCTGGTGCGGCGCTCGTCGTCTCGTTTCAGTGTAGCGAGCTGCGGCGGCGCCTAGAGCAGAGCTCCGACGAGAGGGCAAAGTGGCGGCGAGGCGAGGGACTTGGCGTGGAGCGGTGACAGGACTTGCGGCGGCGGGCGAACAGGGAAGGCCTGCGAGGACCAGTCTCCGGTGGAGCCGCGAGGAACTTGGCGTGCGGGCGCAGTGATGGCGAAGGAAACGTGCATCTCGTCTTCCCCGTTCGATGCAGAGGAGGCGCGCGATGGGTCCTGGTGCACTGGTGGCTTTCGGGCGCCGGAGGCGTGAAGACGACGGCAGCGACACGCACAGAACTCCAGCGAGGCGATGCAGATGCGGGGGAGACGGTAGCGGGCGGCCGGTGGCGGGCTTGAGCTCCTTGCAGCTTCCATGGCGTTCTCCTACGAGAACAGAGAGGACGGGAGATGCTAGAGTGATAAAGAGAAGAGGAACCAAGGGAGGAAGGGGACAAGAGGAGAAGGGAGGCGAGGCCGGCCTGGGAGTGCTGGTCGCCGACGGCGACATGGTCATGGATGAGGGGGAGGTTGCGGCCTCGGACGCCCGCGGGTGCAGGGACACGTGAATCGCTGGTTGAAGGCGACTGGAGGCCGGAGGCGGCGCTGGTTGGGGATGAGGAGGCCCTTGAGCCAGAGGCGCACGAAGCTTGGTCGGCCGGCGAGGAAGGAGGCCGCGAAGGAGCTCCGGTCGCCGACCGGTGCTCGGGCTGCAGGAGGTGGACGAGGGGATCAAGGGAGGTGCTGGTTGGTGAGAGAGATCAAGAGGATTTTGGATCGGGGACGCACACACCGATTGGATGGGGCTGGATCCTGAGGTGGGAGATGTGGCGGCGGCAATGAGTGGATGGGACAATGTCCCTAGATTTTAGGGTTGCCCACTATTTATATTGCAAAGTGATTTAGGGTAGAGGCTAACACGTCCCTACGATCGCAATCGGATGGTCGTGAATAAAATAGCTAGGAAGTCCAATTAATAAAACGGAGATGTTTTGTATATGTTTGGGGATGATCCAGGCACAACGGTAGCGACAGTCCGAGTCGGGTCCGGGACAGCTGTCGGACGCGCGCGGGAGGAGGTCCGAAGCACTTTGCAAAGAGGGGTAGGCATGGGCCTAGGTGGACTGTGAGGAAGGGCTTGGACTGAGAGGAGAGAAGAGAAAACGGCCTGGGAACAGTTTTCGAAGACCGAAAACGGCTGACGTTTTGACCGACTATAATGCCGCTATAGTTATCCGTTGGGGCATCAAACGGACTCCAAATGCGATGAAACTTGATAGACGGTCTATGTGCACTATAATAAGACCACACGCCAACTTTCAACCCAATCCGAGAACATTTTTTGGCCACTTATAAAATAATATCTCGGACATGCCGCGGGCGCATGCAAGTGTGTCTGGGTTCAGAACGGACAACAGAAAGAACTGGGGGAAACCCGGACGGATGCAGGTTTTGAAAACATGATGATGCAATGCACATGATGACATGACAAGATGCAACACGCAAGCAAATGACATGGCAACGACAGCGAATAACTAGAAGCACTGTTCAAGAATTCACCCGATTAATCAGTTAATGGGCCAGTTAATCGCTACTCATAGCATGGCCGAATCGAATAACACCTATTCGTCGCGTTAACTTGTTAGGCCGATTAATTGGCAACTTAGACAAATTAATCAGTTGTCATGCCGATTAATCCTTGCTGGCCCATTAACGGGAGGGCAAATAAAGCCCAAAATTTTGGCTCATAACCCCTTCCGGACCCATCCCACTCCTTAATAGATAGGATTAATAATTTTACCTCATCTCTATGCTTTTCATGTGTGTATGGCAGCATATTTTGGTATACTACATAGCTGGGAGGATGAGAGTATGGTATAATACATTAAAAAATCAAGATATATGTTGGCAAGTTTCTATTCAATCTATGGTCGACCGATTAATCTAGTTAATAGGCCAATTCACCGATTAATCGCTACACCTAAACTGACCGAGCAGCTACCAGTTAACGATTTCTTAAACATTGACTGGAAGACACCTGGCAGAACGGTCTCGGGGCGTTACACATGTCCTCCATGGCGGCGGAGGGGCGAGAGCGCCTCCGAGATAGGATCTCTCTCTCTGTTTCCTTACGCTTTTGCGCTCCCTGATTCTGCCATTTCACCATTTCTTAAATTCTCGGAGATCCGTTACTTCGATTCGGCTGAAATTTTGAAACGATTTTATCCGGATATTGGCTTTCTTATGGCGAAAGAAGGGCACCAACCACCTTACGGAGTGGCCACGAGGGCCGAGGACGTGCCCTACCCCCTGGGGCGCGCCCCTCACCCTCGTAGACCCCTCGGGCATCGTCTCACGTTGATTCCATTTCCCAAAATTCACATATATTCCAAAAAAATCCGTAAGTTTTTATCTCGTTTGGACTCCGTTTGATATGGATTTTCTACGAAACAAAAAACATGCAACAAACAAGAACTGGCACTAGGCACTGGATCAATATGTTAGTCCCAAAAATAGTATGAAAAGTTGCCAAAAGTATGTAAAAGTTGTAGAATATTGGCATGGAATAATAAAAAATTATAGATACGACGGAGACATATTAGCATCCCCAAGCTTAATTCCTACTCGTCCTCGAGTAGATAAATGATAAAAAAGATAATTTTTGCTGTGGAATGCTACCTAGCATAATCTTGATCATGTAATCTAATCATGGCATGAATATTAAGACACGAGTGATTCAAAGCAATACTCTATCATTTTACTTTAAGATAATAATACTTCAAGCATACTAATAAAGCAATCATGTCCTTTCAAAATAACACGGCCAAAGAAAGTTATCCCTACAAAATCATATGGTCTGGCTATGCTCCATCTTCACCACACAAAATATTCAAATCATGAACAACCCCGATGGCAAGCCAAGCAATTGTTTCATATTTTTGATGTTCTCAAACCTTTTCAACTTTCACGCAATACATGAGCCTAAGCGATGGATATAGCACTATAGGTGGAATAGAATATGATGGTGGAGGTTGTGTGGAGAAGACAAAAAGTAAGAAAGTCTCACATCAGTGCGGCTAATCAATGGGCTATGGAGATTCCCATCAATTGATGTCAATGCGAGGAGTAGGGATTGCCATGCAACGGATGCACTAGAGCTATAAGTGTATGAAAGCTCAAACTGAAACTAAGTGGGTGTGCATCCAACTTGCTTGCTCATGAAGACCTAAGGCACTTGGGGAAGCCCATCGTTGGAATATACAAGCCAAGTTCTATAATGAAAATTCCCAATAGTATATGAAAGTGATAACTCAAGAGACTCTCTATATGAAGAACATGGTGCCTCTCTGAAGCACAAGTGTGGTAAAAGGATAGTAACATTGTCCCTTCTCTCTTTTCTCTCATTTTTTTCTTTTTTTGTAGGCTTCTTTGGCCTCTATCTCTTTTTTTTGGTGGGGGGGGCTTCTCTGGCCACTTTTATTTTGATAACCTCACATGGGACAATGTTCTAATAATGATGCTCACCACACTTTTATTTACTTACAACTCAATATTACAACTCGATACTAGAACAAAGATATGACTCTATATGAATGCCTTCGGCGGTGTACCGGAAAGTGCAATGGTCTAGCGTAGCAATGAAATCAAAAAACGGACAAGCCATGAAAACATCATGCTAGCTATCTTACAATCATGCAAAGCAATATGACAATAAATGCTCAAGTCACGTATATCATGATGATGGAAGTTGCATGGCAATATATTTCGGAATGGCTATGGAAATGCCATGATAGGTAGGTATGGTGGCTGCTTTGAGGAAGATATAAGGAGGCTTATGTGTGATAGAACGTATCATATCACGGGGTTTGGATGCCCCAGCAAATTTTGCACCGACTCTCAAGGTGAGAAAGGGCAATGCACGATACCGAAGAGGCTAGCAATGATGGAAGGGTGAGGGTGCGTATAATCCATGGACTCAACATTAGTTATAAAGAACTCACATACTTATTGCAAAAATCTATTAGTCATCGAAACAAAGTACTACACGCATTCTCCTAGGGGGATAGATTGGTAGGAAAATACCATCGCTCGTCCCCAACCGCCACTCATAAGGAAGACAATCAATAAATAAATCATGCTCTGACTTTGTTACATAACGGTTCACCATACGTGCATGATACGGGAATCACAAACTTCAACACAAGTATATCTACAATCCACAACTACCCACTAGCATGACTCTAATATCACCATCTTTATATCGCAAAAGTATTGCAAGGAATCAAACATATCATATTCAGTGATCTACAAGTTTTATGTAGGATTTAATGACTAACCATGTGAATGACCAATTCCTGTCATCTCTCTAAATAGATATAAGTGAAGCAAGAGAGTTTAATTCTTTCTACAAAAGATATGCCCACGCTCTAACAAATATAAGTGAAGCAAAATAGGATCCTACAAATGGCGGTTTTATATGTGTAGGGAAACAGGCAATCCAAACTTCAAATGATATAAGCGAAGCACATGAAGCATTCTATTAAGCCATACTCAAAAGATATATGTGAAGTGCAAAGAGCATTCTACAAATCAACCATGGACTATCTCATATTAGCATGGTGCATCAAAGAAAAGTGAAAACTAAATGCAAAAGATGATACAAGATTTGCACATATCACATGAACGAAACGAAACTGAAAACATACCGATACTTGTTGAAGAAAGATGGGATGCCTTCTGGGGCATCTCCAAGCTTAGACGCTTGAGTCTCCTTGAATCTTTACTTGGGGTTCCTTGGGCATCCCCAAGCTTGAGCTCTTGCCTCTCCTCCTTCTCCTCATATCGAGACCTCCTCGATCCTTGACCACTTCATCCACACAAAACTCAACATAAAGTTCGGTAAGATCCGTTAGTATAATAAAGCAAATCACTACTATAAGTGTCAGATTTTGGGTTCCGACAAAACCCTTGAGGTTCGAACACTGGGTTGCGCACGAATATCTCTCCTCCCTCTAGCTAACGCCCTCACCGCAATCTCAAGGCTCAGCGTGTCGAACTCGCAGAACTAAGGGACACAAGATTTACACTGGTTCGGGCCACCGATGTGGTGTAATACCCTCCAGTGTGGTGTGGTGGATTGCCTTTTGGGCTGAGGATGAACAGATACAAGGGAAGAAAAGCCTCCTGAGGAGAGGTGCTCTTGTTCTTGGCGAGTTTTTGTGGTGGCCTTGGTGGAATGTATCCGGTCCAAGATGAGATGATGCCTCTACGGTGGTGGCTAGTCCTATATATAGAGGCCCGGGTCCTCTTCCCAAACATTAGGTAGGAATGGATCCCACAACAGCCAATTTGAAGGGGGACAGTTAGTACTAGCCATCCTGACAAAAGAGGGTCTTCGCCTGCCAAAGGCTCTGGTGGTGACGCCTTCCTGGGCTCCACGGTGACCTTTCTCCTACCGTCCTGCCGGTCTTGGTCTCGTTGCACCGATATGGAAACCTTTGCCTACTGCCTCGGGACTCCTCGCTTGTGCTTGGCTCTTAAGCACCAAAGAGGAAATGAGGACACTGCA